GTGTTGTGCACGAACAATGAATCATGGAACACTTCATCTAGAACTAATGATGTAATGTATGGGGATTAACATAAGAATAAAAAAAAAAAAAGATTAGGAGGCAATATTTTAAAATGGGTTCCAAGCTGTAACATTTCACTACAAAATCATGTAAGAGAAATCTATGAACAATTATATGTCAACAAATTAGATAATCTAGAAGAAATGGACAAATTCCTAAAAAAACACACAAATTACCAAACCGACTCAAGAGAAAAGAGAAAATCTCAACAGATCTGTAAACAAGTACAGAGATACAATCTGTTTCAAAACCCTCCCAACAAAGAAGTCTAGGACCGGATATGGCTTCACTGGTGAATTTTACCAAACATTTAAAGAAGAATCAATACCAGTCCTACTCAAACTCTTCCAAAAATAGAAGAAGAGGAACATTTCCTAACACATTCTATGAGATCAGCATTACCCTGATACCAAAGCCAGCAAAGAGACTATAAGAAAAGAAAACTACAGACAAACGTCCCTTATGAATACAGATGGAAGAATTCTCAACAAAATAATAGCAAGCCAAATCTAACAGTACATTAAGAGGATTATACAACAGAACCAAGTGGGATTTATCTCAGGAATGCAAAGGTGGTTCAATATAAGAAAATCAATGTAATGCATCATATTAACAGAACAGAGGGGAAAAAAAACACATGATCATCTCAATAGATGCAGAAAGCATTTGAAACAATTCAACATGCTTTCATGATAAAAATACTCAGCAAGTAGGAACAGAAAGGAATTTCCCTAACACAATAAAGGGCATTTACCAAAACCTATACCTAATATCATATTCAATCGTGAAAGACTGAAAGCTTTCCACCTAGGGAACAAGACAAGGATGTGTGCTTTTTTTTTTTTTTTTTGAGAGGGAGGATGGGGGAGGGACAGAGAGAGAATCTCAAGCAGGCTCCACGCCTGGCACGGAGCTGACATGGGGCTGGATCTCATGATCTGAGCCAAAATCAAGAACTGGATGCTCAACAGACTGAGCCACCCAGGCGCCCTAGGATGTATGCTTTCTGAAAGAAAAGAGAGGTGGTAGCTGAACAACATTGTAAATGCACTAAATGCCCCTGATTTGTATACTTTAAAATAGTTAACTGTATCTTATATGAATTTCACATCAATAAAAAGATTCATATAGTGAATCATTTGTTCGTTTTGGTTTACTGATCTACAAGCATATTTCCTATGTTTATAGGATAATTAGTAGATAAGAGTTATAATTTAGAGATTACATTATAACACCATGAAAAACAAACCTTATTTTCAATTCAAGATAAATGAGAGATAAAAGTTGAAGTAAAAGCCTAAAAACTACTCTTAGGAGAGCTTGCAAATTTTCCTCTCAAAATTAGAATGTTCTTTTAAAAATTGGAAGCCAGATGGTCTTATACATAAAAACAAATCTCAATGTTAAATCCAGATGGGATTTAAAAGTTAATTCTGCTGCAGCTGCAGCCAAGCAATCAAAACTGTAGTCAACGTATTTATTTTTCCTTCAGTGATGTTTAGAGCACTGTTTCTCAAATTGGGAACTTGTTGGAAATGCAAATTCTCAGGCCCTGCCCCACACCCCCAGAATCAGAAACTCTGGGGTTGAGGGCCAGTAGTCTGTTTTATTTTTTATTTATTTTTTTTCCCAAAGATTTTATTTATTTATTTGACAGAGAGAGCAAGAGAGCACAAGCAGGGGGAACAGTAGAGGGAGAGAGAGAAGCAGGCTCCATGCCAACCAGGGAGCCTGATGCGGGGCTCGATCCCAGGACCCTGAGATCATGACCCGAGCCGAAGGCAGACACCTAACCATCTGAGCCACCCAGGCGCCCCCAGTAGTCTGTTTTAACAAGCCTTCCAGGTGCACACTCAAGTTTGAGGACCACTAGTTAAGACCAATAGCACAAGTCTCGGCCAGTGAGGCTGCTACAAGCATTTTCTTACCAGACAATGTTGTGCCATAAACGTTGTGTTGTTTCTTGGAGTTGTTAACGTGTCAGCTTGGAACACCTGTGAGTTATCACTATGAAGAAAAAGAAAACATTTGAAATCCATTACAAAATTTTTTTTTAAAGAAATAAGGTTTCAAATACTCAAACAGCAATGCCATTAATGTAAATAGGTTCTTTGTGGAGACAGCTGTGCAGATGGAGAAATTAGAACATGCGCGTGCACACACACACACACACACGCACACAAAGCCTTAGTTGGCTGAGCCTAAACAAATCTCCATGTAAGGGAAGGAATTCTCAAGCATGCCACTTTACCGCTAATCATGCTACCAAGAATAAGAATAATTTATCGTGACCCTGGAAATGCATCATTTTCTGTGTAAACCTGTAACTAATTTAAATTTATGATTGCAGCTACCATGTGCAGTCCCAATTCCCTCTCAACTCTGAAGTTTTCACATGAACAAGAGGGATAATCAATAGCAGGAGTTAACAGAACGGAGATTTTCACAGATGTGTTTTGTTTGACCTACTCGGGATCAAAACGTTTTTAAGTTAGTTACACACACTTGAAATGCTGAGAGGTTTCACATAAATAATCCAGATTCCGGATTTCTAGCTTCTGTTGAAAATCTGCAAGCTGGGTCCACACTGGGCCACATTCCCACATGGCAACAAGAGACTGGAGCTAAGCAGCTGTTCCCTGCTTACGCAGGGGCTTGTCTTCCTCAGCTTCCGTGGTGCCTCGGCCCTATTTGAGCTTGGGACCCTGAACAAGTCTTTTCTTTTTCATGTCTTCTTTTTGTTTTAACTTTTTTATTTTGAAGGAGTTTAAGACTCACAAGACATTGCAAAAATACAGAGGGTTCCCATGTACCTTACACCCAGGTTTCCCCGATGACGTAAGAAGTCGTTAACACTTCCTTTTTTTTTTTTTTTGCCACATCCAATCAGGTGCTAGGTCTCTCTTATAGCCATCTTATTCTTTTCAGACTCCTGGCCAAAAACCAATTCAAAGCCTTTGTACTTTCCTACGTACTCTGCAATAGTCTAATTTGTCCCTTCATCTTGCTTTTGTCCCTACGGCAGTCTACCTGCTCACAACTTTCAGTAACTCTTCATCGTGAGCTGAATTCAGTTACATTCTTTACAATGACATTCAAAGCTCGCCACCATTTAGCTCTAGCCTTTTGGATTTCATGGACTAGTAAAATTTCAAAACAAAATCTTGGCACAAACATACAGTTGCTAACCATCTTTCTTTTGCCAAGTAAAAAAATCCCACCATCTACCATCATTTCATTTATAAAAGGATATTTTGGTATTAAAAAAATTAAAACAACCTCAGGATAAAGTACAGTCCTGCCCAGGAAAAGACATTTGGCCAACTATATCACAAACGTATTTAAGTACTCTGCACTTAACTTTTTTAAAAACACGGGTTAGTGAAAAAGTCACCTAGGATCAGCACTGGTCAGTGGATGAATATCTGGGAGTCAGTGATCCAGGCACAGTTGACAAGCTCTCTGGAATACACCTATGTTTTTCCGTCTCCAAGCTTGTTCCATACACTTGGAATGCTGTCCCAGCTCTCTGGGTCCCCTCTTCCCGTCTGCTTCCTATCAATCCATCAGGACCCATCTCATATGCCTCCTCTCCAAGAACATTTTCCTTATCCCTCACCAATCCTGCTGTCATTTCTCACTCCATTCTTCGAATCTCCCTAGCACTTTCTTTCCCTCCCTATGCATAGATCTTACTCCATCATATATTTAAGTCCTTTGATTATATATTTGCCCTACTAAATTAAAAGCTTATTGGGTCGAGATACATCTTTGCAGCATGGTAATGTGTATATAACAGGCAGTAATTCAATATTTTATGAGAGGATGGGTGTATACATGGGTCTAAGTTTTACTTCATTTTCCAGAAATTTTCCCCTACAAGAATAGGAATGGATTCTAGCAATCATTATAAGAAAGTTGGAGGGTCACTAATGAGTTACATATTTCCACTTTTTTGTACGTGGGGGGTAATTCTTAAGGCTGGCAATTATATTCTCGCCTAAATTTTTGTCTGTCAATTTAATGACTATAAATGAAAAAAATCATTGAGGAAGCATATATTTCAATTGGTAGGCATCATTCAACATGAATTCATAAAATCCCAGGTGATATCTACAACTGAGTTAAGGAGCTCCAGTGGCGCAATCGGTTAGCGCGCGGTACTTATACAACTGAGTTAAGTGCTACAACTTAGAAAAAGTGATAACTAGATACATGTTCAATGCTCCACATCAAATGATCAATAAGCATAAATATGCTTATTTATGTCTAAATATCTAAACTGCAATATGTTTATGCCAGTTATATTCTCAAAGCAATCATTCTCTATGGCCACTATTCTCTTTCCAGGTTTGTAAGAATTTAATAAAACAGATGGTTGGCAAACTTCTGCAAAGGGCCAGACAGTAAATATTTTGGGCTTTGTGGGACATCCAATCTCTATGGCAACTACTCAGCTCGGTTACTATAGTGGGAAAGTGGCCGTGGACAATAAGTAAGCAAATGGGCATGGCCATCTTCCAATAAAACTTTATTTACAAAAATCAAGTGGCAGGCTGGATTTGGCCTACAAGCAGTGGTTTGACTTTCAAACAGTTTAAATGCAGGATCAGGCTAGAGGTATTTACAGGGGGAAGGCAATGGCAGAAATCCCAGAACTTACTCTCTAATTCTCATTAGGGCCAGAGAAGTGAAAGAAAAAAAACCTACTATCTTTAAACAAAGTTATTGACACCAATAGTGAAGTCAGTTAAGTAGAGGGCTAAAGAGGATAAAGAACCAAGAGGTTCAAAACTTTTGACATTGGTATTTTTATTAATACAAGATGTACACAAAACAGTGTAGGAACTTCTTTAAAAACAGTAATACTTGTATTAAGGAGTTTATATTTAAGGAACAAATTTCTGCAAATGCTGGTGCAGAGAGATTGTGTTTATATACAGGAAGCATCAAGCAAAATTGGAAAATTACTTGAAAGAAGTGCAACAATTATTTAGTGAGCAGTGAAAGAGGCAAGGCAACAAGTATTAGAGACTCAATTAAGTGAAAGTGAGGGAAGTGAGCAGTGTACATATGCAACTGAAAAGAATGGAGGTGAACATGAATTCCACAGAGGCCTTGTGTAATTCTACTCTAAATTGTTCTCACTTCCCTGACCACATCCTAAACTGGCCACAACGGCACAAAATCTGCCCTCAGGAGATCATTTGGCCAAGTTCCCTGACCTCAGGCATGTCATGTATCATCTTTATGCTACCTTTTTTTGATAGACAAGAGTCCCTGGACTTGGTCCACCTTGCAGTTTCTTTATCTTTAACTCCTATTAGGTAAATATGCAGTTGCCTCTTACCTTTCTGTACCAATTTCACTTCATCCATCAGGAGCTTAAGCTACAGAATCTGACACTGTAACTATACTCTAATATGATAAAAAATAAAAAATTTAAGTCCTGCAGAACAAAACAAAGCATGAAGGGATAACTGCCATCACTCTCCTTGCTAAGACTGTTTGCAACTTGTTTTTTTTCATTTCATAAAGGCTTCCAATAAAACCAACATTCTCCCCAAGTCTTTTCTTCTAGCAGAGCGGGTTCATAACAATTCATGTTCTCATACAACAGGATTAGAGTCAATCCTGAATTTGTAGAAGTTCTTGTTTTCAGCCCAACATGCAGAGCTGCTGCCCCTTTATTTCTCTGCCTATTAGAAAAGATCACGTATTTTTTTTTGTTAATCTTAGTTAGCTTTTCCTTTTGTATACTATATTCTTCTTTATCTCAAATGACCAGAAAGCTGAATTTGGTTAGAGTTAATAAACTTCGAAGTTGAGGGGCACTGGCTGGGCAGTCGGCTAAGCGTCTGACTCTTGGTTTCCGCTCAGGTCGTGGGATAAAGCTCCGAGTCGGGCTCCATGCTCAGCACGGAATCTGCTGGAGTTTCTCTCTCCCTCTTCCTCTGCTCCTCCCCCCGACACTTGCACTCTCTCAAAAATAAACAAATCTTTTTTTAAAAAAAAAAGCTTAGAAGTTGATTAGTAGTGGACAAATCACTAGCTTAGGAATCAGGAGACACAGCCAGGACACACTGGCTCTATTACTATGTCATTTTAGAGACTTATGGGCCTCAGTTTCCTCATATGTTAAATAAGGAGGGTAGATCTGGTCTCTGAGTTCACTTCTTTTTTTTTTTTTTTTAAAGATTTTATTTATTTATTTGAGAGAGAGAGAATGAGAGAGAGCACATGAGAAGGGGGAGGGTCAGAGGGAGAAGCAGACTCCCTGCCGAGCAGGGAGCCCGATGCGGGACTCGATCCAGGGACTCCAGGATCATGACCTGAGCCGAAGGCAGTCGCTTAACCAACTGAGCCACCCAGGCGCCCTCTGAGTTCACTTCTAACAGTTGTGATTTATAACTATCAATTAGAATGATGCTAGGAAAAGGGAGGAGCAAAATTACTAACACAGGGAGTGAATGCATTTTTCACACATTTTCACAATACTGATAAAACTTTATGACACTGGGATGTGAGATCCAAGATCTTACTTTCAAATTCTATTTTAAGAAATTATAAGCATGTGTCATGCCAGACTTTTGGATATGTGCAGGAAATAGTGAACCATCAGTTAGGACAGTGTTTTTAAATCTTATGCTTTTCATTATCAGCCCTCTAAGGAACTGTTTTTGACATTTCCCCCCCACCAATTACTCCCTCTTGAAAATTCTCACGAAATTGTTGTATTTATAGCTGTGGCTTATACATAAAAAGAGCAAGATTTTTTTCACACACCCCCAAGAACCAAGTTTGGGGCAGTACTGGCCATTGAGAATGCAAAATTTAGGAGATCAAGTTTCTGTGGTACCTAACAAACTTTTTGTTCAAATAAAAACTAGGTGTAAAAAAGGCCCAAGGTTTTTCGCTTGGCAACCATTTCCATTTGCTAGAGGTGAAGGTCAGAGGTGACAAAGCAGCTGAGAGAATGACAGAAAATTACAGTCATCACAGAAGATCTGGAGGTGAGGGTGGGGAATGCTCAGTTTCTTCAAAGGAGTGGGTAAGAGGTGGGGTGAAGTTAAAAAAAAAGTCGTGCTCCACACCAATAGGTTGCTGCTTTTGGGTCCTGGTGGACGGTCAGAAGAGGACGTCCAGGTTCACATGTGTGTCAACCTCAGGGTAGGTGTTCACTCTCCCTCCGGCCTGCCCATCCCACTCCCCACAAGGCTGAGGGTGAGATCTCCGGACAGCAGGAACAAGGGAGATACCTGTAGAACCTCGATGGAGAGAGTCATGGGAATGCTATGGAAGTCACTTTCCCCACCTCCTGCCACCCACCCCCTGCTTGCTCACCCAAGCCCATTGATCAAAGGGGCGCTGCTGGATCTTCTCAGCATGTCATCTGTGGTAGTTGAACTCGGCAGCAGCTCCGAGTCTAGTTCCATTTTCTCTTGTGCCATGTCCACGTCGAGGAAGAAACCACTGCTTGGTTCCAAGTTCTCAAGGTTTTCTGGCTCCCATTCACATAAGGACAAGTCACCTGGGTGAGAAGATGCAGGCAGAGAGGAAAAGGGGGAAAAGAGAAGAAAGGAGGAACCTCTTAGACGAGTGAGGTGCTCACCTTTGCAGCCCTACCATCCCTAATACCAGTGGGCACAAAGTCGGGCAGGACTGGCTCCGAACCTCCTATCCCCCAACCTCGGGGTCCCTAACGCTGAGATCTTCCACCTCCAAGTCTATAATGAAAAGGAGGAATTTATCTTAGTCACCCCGTGAATCGTTCTTAATTTCTCTCAGCAAAGGAAACCCCAGGTAAGCCTTTCCGGCCAAAACAAAAACTACAACCTGTCGCCTTCGCGAATCCGTCGGGTGCCGCCCCGCTGCACCTGCGCCCCGTGCCCTGCCCGCTGACGCATGCTTATTACGCAAACAATGAGAGTCAATGGGGGCGTCTTTGTCAGCCTTGCCTGGGGCGCACGCGCAGTCTTAGGAACCGACTTTTTACCGCAAGCCGGGTCCTCTCTTTATTTCTCGTGGAGGTTGACGATGGTTGTTCCTCTGCTTCTATGTGAACCCAGGGATCGTTTTTCACTGACCGTTATTTAGGGAAGAAAGGGTGGGGAGGAGTAAGCTGTATGGGAGCGCCGTCCTTTCTGTGCTATGTCTAATACTCAATTTTCTCTGGTTTGAGTAGCCCATTATCCCCGTATAACTGAGGCCAATAAGCTTGTTAACTCCCATGACGAATTTTTCCATCCTGTTATAGCCAACACTACACAATTGTAATTTAAAAAACGCTATACGTCAAAAAAAAAAAAAAAAAGCTATACCTCGGGGGCGGGGGGGAGCGGAAACCAACCCAAGACCTGCAACCTGCCGCTGAAGTGGCCTTGTAGGGCGCTAACTCAGTTGAACCAATTGTGCGGACGAATCATTGTTTTCCATGTGATCTCATTGTTTGTTTTTTAACCATAATCGTAAGTGTATTTTTACACTAAATAAAATTTAACTTCTTAAAGCTATTCATCTAAGAAAATGATTTGAGTTAGAGAAGCTTATTTACTTAAAACAAATCTCAGAATTTAGTATCCATCCAGATCAGGGTTTCCATTTACTAATGCTGTCATGGCTCAAACATTATAAGAATTGCTCTTTTAGAATTTTTCACCACCAGTTAATGAGCCACATTGAGTACTGAAATCTTACCTCCACACTAACAATTTTGTAAAACCATACCTTTTAAAAAGGAGCCATATAGAGGACTGGCAGAGAAGGCAAGTGAAACTACTGAAATTAGAGTTATTAATTAAAATAATCATTACGTGGTATAACACCTTACAGTTTAAAAAAATGTCTTCACATATTTATCTCAATTGGTTCAATCATGAACCCTGCTCAGCTAATCAGTGGTGAACTTAAAATAATGGGATTATCTTGAAAGAGTTCATGACAAGTTATGACATGAATGATCATAATCATTCTTCATTCATTCTGAGAATAGAATAAGAAAAGCTTAATTATATTAGGCAGAATTGAGTTATCTAAATCCCAGACATGAGGACGATTTGGAGTCTCCTTTCTTAATGTAAGACAGGTTAACAATAGCTACCATTTTTCATGCACTTAATTATATGCCAGGCACTGTCCTAAGCACTTTAAATATGTGATTGCATTTAATACTTACAGTAACTCTGTGAGGTAGGCACCATCACAATGCCCATTTTTCAAAGGAGGAAACTGAAGCCCAGAGGGGTTACTCAAATAACTGCTAAGTGGCAAAGCCAAGATTCCTCTGCCCTCTTATTTAAGTGAAAAGACAGATGAGGGGCCTCTGGATATTTCTCTGGATACTATTTCTATACTCATAAGCACTTTGATAAATATTTATTAAATTATTTTATGAATAAATGCAGGTTTAAATAACCTGTCATTCACAGCTATTTTGTAAGGTACGCAAGTCACTTCTATTTTACAGTTGTTAAAATTCCAGGGAGATTAATGGCACATAATTAGGTAGCAGTAGAATCTGAGCTGATACCAAGATCTCCTGAAGGCCACTGTTAAAGTTCCCAGGGTACCTGGAAGGTTTACAAAAGATGGCAGTTAAAGCTGAGTAAAGACAGGGTGAATGTAGAAGGCAGTGGTTAAATACAGAACAGGGGTCAAAGCCAAACTGAATAGCAGAAAAATGGTGGGTACACCAGAAAGTAAGTAGATCTTCCCTCCATTCTACTGCTCATTTTACTTTTCAAAGAGTTTGTTAATATTTGTGGCAAATAATAAGATTTAAAGGATATATTTTGAATGAATAGACAATCTTATCATGCCTAAGCATCACAGATCCTAATTTTTAAAAAACTAAGTACAAGAACACCAAGAAAATAGATAATAAAATGACAAGGAAATAGCAACTGAGAGACTTTCAAGAAAAGGGGTAGTAATATGAAACGACTACATGCTTGAGATGGCAGGAAGTTTTCAGCTATTATCAAAGAGGAGGAATTCTCTAAAGTGTAGCTGAATGCCAGGAACCCATAGTACATAAGCAAGTTAGAATGTCAAAAGGAACAAGTACTGGAAAAACAATTCTATATACTATAGTGGCAAACACAACATTTAAAGAAATTATTTTTACATTTTCCCCTTTCTCTTCATGCATTATTATACCAACCTAGCTGTGTGTCATGATCATCTCCTGCTGTTCCATAGCAATATGCCATGATCTTAGATTGCTAGTTTGCTTAGATCTATACCTTGCCACTTATGCTACTCGTGTTTTTGCTTTGTCCCGGTCTGCTGCCATTTGAACCAGCCTTCTTACTTATAACAGGTGTCCCACAAATATGTCATAATCAGTTGTTTAGTTTATCAGTCGTCATGGCAACTTTTAAGCAACTGGTTAACTTTTAGTTATCACAAGAGCAAGTCAAAGACAAGTTGAACTCAAGCCCACAAACCACAAATACCCCAAACCTCCCAAAAGATTTACATGAAGGGTAAAAGAAACTAGATAGGCAAGAATGATATGAATAGAATCTGGAAATAATGGCCAAAGTAGCATCCATCTTCTCACATGTCCTTGAGTTTCTCCTAATTGTTAAGCTCCTGAAAGTTAGGGATTCTTTTTTTTTTTAAGATTTTATTTATTTATTTGAGAGAGAGCACGCGCGGGAGAGCATGAGCAGGGAAGAGGGGCAGAGGGAGAGGGAGAAGCGGACTCCCCGATGAGCAGGGAACCCGATGCGATGCCGGGCTCGATTCCAGGACCCCGGGATCAGGACCTGAGCCAAAGGCAGCGGCTTAACCAACTGAGCCACCCAGGCACCCCTGAAAGTTAGGGATTCTACTAAATTTTTTTAAAAGATTTTTATTTATTTATTTGACAGAGAGAGACACAGTGAGAGAAGGAACACAAGCAGAGAGGGTGGGAGAGGGAGAAGCAGGCTCCCCGCTGAGCAGGGAGCCCGATGCGGGGCTCAATCCCAGGACCCTGGGATCATGACCTGAGCTGAAGGCAGACG